TAATAAAATTGTTTTTACTTTTCTTTTACGTGCCCCATAAGTAGAGATATTGCAATGCAAAGTCCACGGGTCTGAATTTTCGCGTAATTTCATCTACGCGGACATTTCATATATGTATCTGAAACATGTCTGAAATATTTTTTTGAAAGGTTTCATATTTCATTGACAGCTTTTTGAGAGCTTTCTGAAATATTTCAGTGCTGTGTGGGACAGCACGTATATCTTAAGTTTTATTTTATTATATTTTATTTCTTTAAAACGGTGCAGTAAAGACTATATTGAAACTTGGTAGATATTTTCATCTATTCATATACTAGATGTATAAAAAAATTCAAAACACTGGTACTATTTCTTCTACATTTTTTTAGCTGTTTTATCCGTGAAGATCGGCTTTTCCTATAAGAGTACGTGTAAAATCAGTGTAAATTGAAATAGTTATATCTCAGCAACCGTTTAGTGGATGCATTTTTACTTTTCTACAATAAATTGGGAAGACTAAAGGTGCATTTTCACGTGTCGCTCGAACCGGCCGTTTCAGCGACAAAAAGGGTCACGTGATTACTTTTGTCGCAGAATATTCGCAGAAAAGTAATCACGTGACCTTTTTTGTCGCTGAAACGGCCGGTTCGAGCGACACGTGAAAATGTACCTTAAAAGAACAATTTCACAAATTTTTAGCGACTTTGTACTGTTTTGAAGATAGGTCCGATACATCCTTAATCAGAAACACTTGTCATTACCATGATAGGTAAGCAGACAGACAGGAATGCCTGGACATTTCTATAATGCATTCTATAATTATAGAAACGTCCAGACATTCTTACCTGTCCTGCGTACGTAGTTTCACTTTTCAAACGCGCGTCACCCGCGTTTACACCCGCGAATCTTTAATCACAGCTGGCACAGCAGTGGCGCATGCGCCGGCATAACCTGCGATGTAGCAGTTCGTCCCTGACGGAAGGTCGAAAATGTTACGTTCCGTTACACGTGAGTTATTTTACGGTGAATTACGAGATCGCCGTCAGACAAATGCCTCGATCATCGGTCCCGATGCCGAGGCATGACGCGCATTTAACCCCACATTAATCGGGTGAAACGCCGCGTCAATCCGCACCGCGGGCGATCGATATCGTCGTGGAGCAAACTCCGCTTTTTGCGCACTTTCCGTTTTGATATCGCGCTATTGCATAAGATTACACTCCACTCTAACGTACGTCACGAGACTTGACGTACGTCTGTCTAAGCGCGCGGTTGTACAATTTATTTCGAAACGTCCGCTCGACTGAAATGCCATCATAACCTCCCAAACGCGGCTACACTGATAGTTGCCGCACGGTCGTTTACATGATGGTTTATCTTCCTCTTTTCTTTCCTTACAGATAACGTCCCCCAGGGACTAGTGTCCCTGGTGCGCAACAATGTAGCGGCGTCGGGGCCGGCTGTCACATTGAAGGTTCAGACCAAACACATGGCCACGGAGTCGTCCGTGCAGGAGGCGAAGCCCGCGCTGCCGGGGAAACCGAAGGTCGAGCCGTACAGCCCTTTCCAGCCGACTAGTACGGCAGAGTATGCCCTGGCCAGATTAGACGACATACTCAACTGGGGGCGCAAAGGGTCGATATGGCCGATGACCTTCGGCCTGGCCTGCTGCGCCGTGGAGATGATGCACATCGCGGCGCCTAGATACGACATGGACAGATTCGGCGTGGTGTTCCGCGCCTCGCCCCGACAGTCGGACGTCATTATAGTTGCTGGCACACTGACGAATAAGATGGCACCCGCCCTGAGGAAGATCTACGATCAGATGCCCGAGCCCCGGTGGGTCATTTCCATGGGGAGCTGCGCGAACGGAGGCGGATATTATCACTATAGCTATTCCGTGGTCAGGGGCTGCGACAGGATAATACCCGTGGACATTTACGTGCCTGGTGAATTTGCAATTCTTCATGCTCTTTCCCACACAGCACAGAAAGATTGCAGGGAGATTGCAGAAATGTTACACTGCAAGATTGCAATATTGCAGCAACGTTTCTGGAGGATTGCAGCAACGTTGAAATGTCCGTCCTCAGAGAGATTGCGGTGCAACATTATAGCAATGTTGCGGTGCAATATTTTTGGAATAATTTGTCGTTGTACATAAGCAGAGAATTTACTAATTACATATGCATCCGCGCCTTTTTCAATACACAGCAAGCTATTGCGAAGCAACCTAAGGAGATTGTGTCGCTTCGCAATAGATGGAGATTGCGAGCAACACCGCACTGATCAAGTATTTAATAATTCGCGCATTGGTATCAACGAAAATAACATTATAAAATTCTCGTGATTAGAAAAATGTTTTAAATAGAACATATAGTATTTTCATTATTTTTGAAACATTGCTGCAATATTGCTATCGAAAGTTTGCAATTTTATATCCCTGCAAGGTCTCTGCAAGATTGCAACGTTTCTGCAATGTAACTGCAACCATCTGTGCTGTACGGGTTGTTATACGTGCAATCTTATATCGATCATAATATGAACCTTCGGTATTGCAGGTTGTCCCCCAACGGCTGAAGCATTGTTGTACGGCGTTCTTCAGTTGCAGAAGAAGATAAAGCGTATGCAGACCACGCAAGTTTGGTACAGGAAGTAATGTACCTGACGTCTATAGTGATAAATGTATAAATTATTGAAAAATTGTAAGATAACTGATACATAATTAAGCAATAGAGGAGTTGTCACTCAAAAATGTGATTGACAAAATAAATCACATTTAAGTGAAAATAATTTTTTTTTATTACCATGAATCAGTTTTGTTTACTTTGCATGCATATTTGAAAAAAGATATACTATGTTGTCGTTATGATATATAGTTTGTTCAGATATACATATAAAAAAGTTCAAGATTCAATTAAACGCCCATCACGCCGTAATAAAACGTCGCCGACCCATGGTTCCTATACTTTAAAATGCTTGTACTCGTCTATTCTTTCATCACATGAATTTATGGCACTTAATTTTTAGCACCCTGTATATATTAAATATATATACTTTTAGCATACGAAAAAAAGAGATGTGATTGTATATGTAACTGAATTCGAATGGAATATTGTGAAAAATTTTACCTTTAATCTTATGTCAAAAACTTGTTCTCTCGTATCCTCTCTTCTGTTTATTATCAATTGACTGGTTCTTAAATTTATCTTTTCCGGAAGATAGCGATATCAGAATAATCGTAAAATCATGTTATATTAATATTGTTTTTATGCAGTGATGAAATTATAAGATAATAGCGCTTTACATTATTATATACAAAAAATATACTATATGATAAATGAAGTGTATATTGTCTCTTTCTTACGTTGAGAAAACAAACGTTTGTACAAACCTATGTTTTATTACATTCTCTATTCTATTGTTTGCACTGTGTTTACTTCTAAAAGTATGTACAAATTATGTTCAGAATAATTTAAACAACGCAAAGAGTTTCACACGCAAGTTCTTTGCTGTTTAAGTTAGCGCGTTCTAAGGCCCCTTTCCTTACTTATTACTGTAACTAATACTAATATATAACAATTACATTTTATTATCTATTCATACAATACATACATATATCATCTTAATAAAAATACATGTATACCGAAACATCTTGTACATATTTTAGGTAAAGAATTTGCCTCTTTTTAACCAACTTGCAAAGTTCCGTACCTATCGTGTTCTTTTTTTATTACACCGCTCAATGAATTGTTATTCTGTTGCGCCACAGCCAAATTATTAATGTTTTGCTTTGATCATCAAGAAGAGAAAAGGCAACCTAAAAAATAATCAGTTACAGTGATTTCGACAATCCCATCGGATACACGAATTCATCAAACCTTGCTGATAGTAACGAGAGTTAATTCGATCTCGTCATTCTTATTACAATTCAGTATGTACAAAATTAATATCTAAATTTTGATACTTTGTTCCCCATCTTCCTTACTCACTGGTAAAATTTCATATATTGTGTTCTTTCAAACGAGACTTCGTCTATATAATGACATTGTAATTATGATGTTATTATAGAGAACCAATGATCTTACAGTTATAAATTAAAAATAACGCGTCTAATATATTAAATTGTTTCGTTTAAATAATTTAACTTAATTCCTATTTGTTTTAACGTGTGGTAAAAGATAATAAAGTAATGTAGAGGAGAAATGTTTGTTAATTTCATTAATTAGAAATATACGAGGGGACCAGTCGAAAAGTTCTCGGAATGAAACACGCACTTGTACGATGTACGCTAAATAGAAAGTTTTAACTCTTTCCGTCTCAAATAGTTTATTTTTCAAAAATCAAACAGATATGTTTGTTTAACGATCCATAAAAAAATAAACTATTTGATGTAACGAGTGGGAACTTTGCATGCGTTTATAGAAGGGTTTGGAACTCTAAATTTATGACGTCTATTATGCGAGTGCTATTGATATGTCATTTCGAGAACTTTCCAAATCGCCCTCGCAGAATCAACAAGATTTTTAAACAAAAATAAAAATTTTTATTCTACGTTCCGATCTATTCTCTACATGTGCGATACAAATCTCGTTTTAAACGCATTGTGCGGCAGAACGGTTCACATAATTCTAAAAAACGCGTTTGTTCTGCATTATGTATAATAAGCATTTGTGTCCTCTTGAATGATTGCCATAAAAGATAATTTAATGCGATAAACTTAAATAAACAAAACGTCAATGGTCTAAATGTAATATATAGTCAATCCCTGCCGTGTACAATTTCGATGATTCAAACAATACTATAAATTGCTATCAAGCTCTGCTATATATACCTAGTTGCCATATACTCCCACAGATCTCACGTATTAAAAAAGTCTGGATATTACATCAAATATCCATTAATCCTTTCATATCCCCGCCCTGTTCGCAATTAAATCCGATTTTCTTAAACATTACCATAGTCCTTTTAATATCTGAGACTGAATGAAGCTGAGTCCAACCTCATTTTACAACTCGATGGATAATTAGTACAAATATACATGACAGTTCTGGACAATTTAAGTAAATAGACACACCTAAATATCTTTTATACCATTAGAGAATTGCTTGCGACGTAGATGGCGGTGGATTAGTTGGCGATGCGGGCATGGGGCCGTCTGTCCATTGAATGAGCGAGTGCTCGCTCATTTGTGTACTTTGAAAGTGGTCCTTTAGGAGGGTCTGGGAGAAGTTGCAATGCATTTGATACGCCTCGCTCTCGCGATTAGGCTCGCCACAAATTCTGTACAAATCTACAACATTTCAATCGTACAACGTACAGATAACCGAAAACTTCACTTTCGCTATTTACTTTTCAATGTATCCGCGCGTATACCTTTTAAAATAGCAGTAGCCCACAGTTGTACATGTACATCAGGTATCTTAGAAGCTAGTTGCATCGCAGGCGTGACCATATTCATCGACTCTCTGCTGTTTCCCAAAGAAAGAAATATATGTCCCAAGAGCACAAGACTGCAGGAAGTGAGTCTGTTCAAGTCCTCGGAATTTGCCATTTTTAAGGTTTCTCTAAGATATCGTCTGAAAGTCACATTGGCATATTTACATTGCTGAAATTTCTTAACTTCGCTAATAATAATTAAATTGTCCTTATCTTTCATCTTCTTACCTTTCGGAAAATTAAACTCACAAGTTTCGTGTATTTATTAAAATATGAGAATGAATATTTTAAAAAATCTTACTTTGCTTCATTGTATCTAGCACCGAAGAAAGCCTGGAGTCCTTGCACGTAATATGCAGCTGCCTTCAAAGAATGAGAATGCGGTGGTAGAGATTCCGGAGTTACCCTTTCTAGCAACGATCCCAATTCGGTTTCCCTCTTTGATCTGAGATACACTATCGCTAGGTTCAATTGCGCGAATGTCCAGAGTTCCTTTTCTTGTGATGTCTAAAAAAAAAGGATGGAATAATTTTCTCTGTCATCAGTACAATAGTATTCTATAGATTTGCCAAAATAATGAATAATAAAAAGTTTTTAAGCAAGCATACATAAGCAACGTAGATTAGAAAGACAGAATAATACACAAGGCTTGAGTTATTTGTCACAATTTATGATAAAATTTCCACTTTCTTACTCTGAGTGCAGCAATGAACTGCGCCTCCGCAGCTTCCATACAATTCATAGACATTGCGTATAATCCTAATAATACATGTAATTGCGGCCTGTGGCCTTGAAGTAACTTAGGTTGCCGCCTGCAGAGTTGACAAGCTTGAGAAATTTCCGTGAGAGCCAGACTCTTGTTCCCCATTACAAGCCGACACATAATTATATGCTCCAACAGCATTAATTGAAACACGGACAGGATAGGTTTATTATCGATAACTGTAAAAGAACAGTAAAGAATTCAATTTCGCTGAGTATTAAAATTAAATGTAAAAGAATAAGAAGTAATGTATGTGGTTCTGTGTGAGAACTCGATCTTCATCCTGTATGTACTTTACAAGAGATTGATTGTAGACTCGAAAATTTGTGAGTAAAGAAATACGAGGTGAATTGTAAACCATTTTGCGAGAAATAAACCACTTTAATCAATTAACGAAAGGAGAGTTTGCTTATTGTCACCAGTAATGATTAAAGATTGAGACGGGAAACTTATAATCAACCCAACTGGCTAGTTATTCAATTAGTTCATTACACAACGTTTCGACCCTATTCTTTTGGGTCCTTTTCGAGTGATACCAAGTCAGTCATCGTCGTCGAATAAGACAGAGACGAGTTATAAAATATATGTATACGTGTGAGCACCGTAGTAGCTAGGCTCGAGCCTTAATCAATTAAGAAAAGGGATCACGCGCGTACTTACTCTTCAATTTTTCAATTTGACTAAGCGCTTTATCGGTATATTTCTGTGCTTTATCCATGTAACCAGCTTGCATAGAATGCATAACGGTTACTAAATAAACCAGGACATATAGATGATCCTTCGGCATCCATATAAACATGTCTCCGATGTTGGAGCCGGTGACCACATCGTCTGCCGGCCAGCTGGGTGACATTATGGTCTGTATACTTTGTTGCAGTTGCTTCAAACAGGGCTTCACGCTCTTCACCTATTTCGGCGGAACGTTAATGCGTTATCATTAGAATCGCCCAAAATCTTTTAACTTAATTCGTAGGAAAGTTTCCTATTACGAGATAGCGGAGTTTCTGCTAAATTAACAGGCATCATCTGTTGGTTCCATCGTGAATTTATTGCTCTTGGGGTGAAATCTTGTTTAGTGGAAAATTGTTTGATCGTGCAATCTTTGAGAAAAGATTCCAGTGTGATTTGGTCGTTCGAAAATATTAGAATCCTATCTCATAACAGAGGACTTTCCTCTACTTTTTATGTTCGTTATAATAACATTTAATTTACTATAAACTGCGTTTTATTTTTAATTTGAATCTATATGCTGACAAGGGTCCAAAATAGGAACCGAAACGCTTGTATTTAATTACATGAATTAGTAACTTTTAATTAAATCTATCTGCGCAACTAATGACCGCGCTTTGCTCTGATTGCCTATTATTATTATTCGCCTATTTCGGCAAAGCGTTAATGCGTTATGATTAAAATGGCACGGCCCAATATCTCTTAACTTAATTTACTTTTTATGTACGTTATAATAACATTTATCTACAGACTGCGTTCTTAATTTGAATCTACGTCTGTGCCGATAAGGGTCCAAAAAGGGGACTGAAACGTACACTTTTATTCAATTATACAAGTTACTAATTTTTAATTAAATCTACTTGTGCACTAATGACCGCACTTTGCTCCGATTGCCTTTCACAATATTATTATTATTATTATATAAAGTGCACGCTCGTTGAATGTATAAACAAATGATCAAAGTTTAAAGGCCAAAAATAACGAGCTACTACAAAGGATGTTAGAAAATTCACTTATATTCTTAATAATTAACATAGGTGAACGTTTCGACTTTACTTAGTCTTTTTCAACACCCTAATTCAATAATTAAGATACACTAAATTTAAAAGGTACGTGACTGGTCATTTAGATTATTATCAAATGTCGTTGGAATAAGTTAAAAATTAGTAAATAAAAAATTATACGTATATATAAATGCCAACGTCACAAACAAGGAGAAAACGATTCCCATACTAGACGCATGTAATTATCGTCGAACAACTCATCGGTATGACACAATCTAAGAACGGACAGAGGCAATAGTTGGACAATTATATTAATAGTTATTAATAATAATAATAATAATAGTTACTATGTTTACCCCTTCCCTTCCTCTACTGACTTATTTTTATACTCGACATATGTTCGTTATCAGTCATTACTTCACTTCACCTACACAGTCCAACATGGCTATAGGTAAGCACATACCTTTTCCTTCTTCCTACTTTGAGGCACTAATTCATCAATTCATTAGGTTTTCCTTTGTTCTTGTTTGTTACAGTATTTTCTGTCAACTTAATGCGTTTAATTTATTTGCGGTTTTATTGTATATTACACTTTTAATTTGTTTGACTGCGCCATCTTTTAATATGTGCTGTCTTTTTATTTATTAGAATCTCATCGGACCGACTGCGTATATGTTGTTTTACATTTTAATTTGTATTCCCAGCTTATTAATGTTTTAAATTGTGTTCCTTTTTATTATACTGAAGATGGTCCAATAAGGACTGAAGCGTCTATATCCATTTATAATTAAATGTTTTTTGAACACTACTATCCTGTTCTGGCTCTGAGCCCTTTATTTCATTTATTATTATTATCAATTCCAATATCTTTTTACGCACGACAGTCACGACCATAGTATAACTAGTGGGTCCACTCAGTCATTCGTTTTCTTTTGCATCGATCCCTTCTGCGCATCCGACACTGCTCTGGGCAGACCAATGAGAAAAGGTTGTATACGAGAATGGTAGTCCACGTCGATCGGGACCACAAAGATCAAAGGGGCCGGCAGTGAGTGGACCTACTAGTTACACTATGGTCATGAGTATATTCTTACCTGGCCTGCCATAAGATAATGGCACACTTGAAGGACCAAAAAGTACACCTTGAGATACTCCTTTTGATGCGGGCTGCCCTGCCAATTCTCCACGTGATGGCCCGCCATGTTTAGAAGCGGATGAACCTCGGAGAACTTCTTGTCTATCAGCAGCAGCATACACCGACTTAGGAGAAAGAGGACCTTGGTGTAACTGGCGTTGCTTATGTGAGAATAATCAACGCCTACTCCGAGCAGGCTACTCGCCGCCACAAAGTCCTTCTCCGAGGCGTGAATTTGCTGCAATCCGCAAAGTCATCGTGAGCATGTGGTCTCTGTGAGACACGGGAAGTCCACCTCGCCAAGCTTACCGCAAGTTGAAAGATGAGCCTGCAGTGCCAGTAGACATTGTGCTGGGACAGCTCTATTGCCTTCCTCAAAATTGGTTTACTCAGGTTCGGCTGCAGCTGCTGCTCGTACAGCTCCGCGACGACGCTGGCCGCTTCGAATTTCACGTCGTCGAACGTATTTATATTCTGACTCAGTCGCCACTGAGGAGAACGAACCAAGAGTCAATTAGAAAAGTCGTCGAAGACGGCAGCAGCCTCGATTACATTAACGCAACTCCGTAAATCGCGATCGACGTAACATTTGATATCGTAGTGCTGGTTTGGTAACATTTTTAGGCTGTAAACTCCTGGAATAAGACTGACACGTCTTCGGGTTGCACGACGCCATTTGTTGTCATTGCGCGCGGAGAGGTTAGGACGGGCAAGCATGCGGAATCGCGCGCGGAGACGGGACGGGGAGAGACGGAGGCGAGGGAGAGCTGCTCGATCTCGACGCGCGACGGGACGCGAAGCGCGGTGGAATACTGACCGCTTGGTCCAGGTGGTATCGCGCCAAATCGATGTTTTTCGTATGCGTGAGGAGGATGTTGCCGAGCTGAAGATGGGTGCGCGCCTCGACGCGCGGCGGCGGCTTGAAGTGGAAGACCGCCTGCAGACACTGGATGCACGACTTGATGTTGGGCGGACTCGACGTGCGGAAATTCTCGGCCAGGCCGAGCAACGACAGATACCAAGCGTCCTGAGAAGACGCCATTTTAACATTTCACCACACGGAGGAAGTGAGGAACGAAGCCAGACGGAGCTCTCCGCTACTCCGCTCTAGAGTTCCTCTAGTAAGAGTTCGGACACCGTACGCCATTTATAGCCAAACAGTGGAAGGGGATTGGCGCGATACATGAATGTGGGCTACGGTCCACTTGATACTGCAAATGATTCGAAATATTCTTCTTCTCCTTTCTTTTATTAAAAGGAACTAGAAGAAGAACGTTTTGAAGCAATTTGCAGCATCAAGTGGACCGCAGCCTATATAGTTTATGATATTTTACATAATTTTTTTAAAACAATGGCCATATACGGTCAGGCTGGATCTTGGTAGCCAAATATTAACGCGTAAATTTTATTTTGCTTTTTCCACATTTTAATTGCGCGTCAATTATTTATCGATCTTCAAACACAGCTTATTGGTAAAAATAGTAAATTATAATAACATACGGTAGTATACATCTTTTTCTTAGTTTTATATCAATATTAGGTTTATGTAAATATAAAAAATATATAATCAAGTAGAAATATAATATATATAAGAAATATATTGTATATAAATATTATGATATACGTTGTATAAATTATTTAATTGATGTCATAATTTATTATTTAATACTAGTATAAAAATATTACTTTGCTACCGAAAAAAAGCAGATTTTATATTAATAAAATGTATGTTTTAATAAAATGCAATGCTATTTAGAGCTAACAATAATAATAATGAAAGAACAATAGTTACAGAGAAGAGAAATAATTAAAAAGGATGTAATATTTTGAATTTTATTAATAATAGTATAAAAAATTAATGAACTTCGTAATAATAAAAACTTTATTTCACTCGTGCATGCATAGCAACACTTTTACTGGCATAACTATTTTTATAATCAACATTAAAGTTCATCGACATTTTTTTTAACCTAAAACTAATAAATCGCCGAATAATTTTATCTTTCATATTATGGCACGTAGGTAAATCACAGTTTAAATCTTGTAATTTAAAAATAAAAAAGTCCTTAAGATCTAACGATAATGTACAGACTTTAGTATAATAAGCTCTGAATATTTTTTCCATATTAATTATAAAATTAAAAGTAACATCGTTTATAAAAAATAATGACTCATTATTAAAGCACCTAGCTCGGGTCAAATATGTATATGAAGATACTTTTTGTTGTTTTGATCCGACAGCATTAATGCACGTATCACAGGTTTGATGATTATTCTTAATTTTCGAGATTATGTAACCTCCTATGTAATATAAAGAATTTAATGTCGCATTATTAAACTCTATATTCACAGCACAGCTGTTTAAATCTAAA